TACACTGGGCTGATGGGATTAATAATGATCTTCATGAGCTGAGTGTCCTAGTAGCCTAACTCTCAGTCTCCTCACTGTAGAGTGCAGGTTTGAGTTGACCTGATAATAGATGTCACAGCAGCAAAGGACAAGGTCAGACAGAGACAAGGAAAGGCTTGAAGGGACACCTGGTAATTCCAGTAGTCTTTATCAACAGTAGGAGTTTTGCTGAGTCCCAGCAAAGGTGTCTTTATCTTTTGCAGAAAAGGTCAACCTGCCTTTCAATATGACTACACCATTTTGCATCTCCTCCAGCCAGGCATGTGTGAGCATACCAGTGGCGCCATGATTTTCCAACACTGGTATGTATGTGCATATGCAGTAGTTTCTCCATGAAGAGGATTCTGTAGACTTTAGTCCCTCTCTCCGTTCCTGTCTGTAAATGAAAGGTTCCAGGATCACCCTTTGCAGCACACACACAGAATTTGAGAGTCTTCCTTGTTTTACATGTTTATGATGGTCTCCACCCTCATCCATGAAGGGTCTTTAAATGATGCTGCACTATGTGACAGAGCACATGGGAACCTTCCCCCACGTCATGCTACAAAACCAACCAGGGTTAAGTGGACTTACCAGGCTGTCCCAGGAACATAAAGAAGCTTCCGTGTCTTTGAGCTTGGAAGGAAAGGAGGAGGGTATGTGGACTATTCACCTCCCACAGCCCAGATGTTCTCCATAAAGGGAGTTGAGGAGAGAGAGAACATCAGCCTAGACAGGGCCTGAAAGCACAGAGAGTGCGGATGGGAGACACTAAAACCATAGCATTTATGGATGGGATGATTTGTATGTTCCACACTGCAAACACCACGGGGCAGAAGAGAGGCAAGACTGTCTCAGCCTTGGCTCAGTAGCTGTGCAGAGAAGATCCCTTCCTTTGAGTGCAAGAAGACCTCTGCCCGGTGCTCTCACTGGGGACTGGAGGTGTTTGTGAGCTCCTCCTGCACATGTGCATCTGTGGAGTCTCCATTTCTGCTGACGCACACAGGACACCTCACCAAATGGTCTTTAGATTTCCGTGGCTGTGCCATTTTTAAAATCTCTGAAGTCAAATGATTTCTAAGCAATTACATTTGCCCTCTTACCCGCATAGATGTGTAAACTTTGCAAAAAAAATGAGGCGTGCAATTACTTTCACGGAAGTACAGGTGTCATTCTGCAGTCACTTTCTGATGGTACATTTCAGAACCTGGATATAATTTTGAAACATCAGAGTCCTGGGTTATCTTATCTCAGGAAAGATTCTTATGTGAAACGTTCTGTTACTGAGTTAAACGTCTTTTAGATTCCAGTGTATTCCTGCCAAGTACTGGGCTGAGCTCATGGAGTCTTGCTGAAGAAAAAGAGGGGAGATTTAGGAACTTGGGGATCATGAAGGGGGAACGCGAGTGACAGCTGAGGGGAGCTCAAGGGATCTCAAGGGTTCTAGACCAACATTTAGGGAACCTCCAGGGAGCTGACCTATGTGTTTGCATATGTGTATGACAATTGTGCAGCCTGGTTTCTTTGTTAGGCTCCTTTCAGTGAGATCAGGACCTGTCCCTGGTGTTTAACTGACTTTTGGGAACCTATTTCCAATGCTGGATTATCTTGCCAAGACTTGACACCAAGGGAGGAGCTTGGTTCTGTTACAACTTGATGTGCCAGGCTTGTGCAAGCCCAGGGGAGGCCTGTCCCCTTTCTGAGTGGAGATGGAGGAAGAGTGGAAGGGAAGGGGAGTGGAACAGAAGTCGGGTGGGGGTTTGGGCAGGAGGAGAGAGGGAGGGGAACCTGTGGTTGAAATGTAAAATAATCAAAAAGAATCTTATTAAAATAAAATAAAATATAGAAAGGAGAAGAATCGGAAGAAGAACAATTGAAAAAGGAAAAAAGATTCAAGTGTGCTTCATTTAGGTAACAGTGCTTCTCCATATGTGCAAATATCTCAATATTGCACAATCCCTAGTTGATCAACTCCTGAGTGACCTGATTTTGACAACTTTTAAATAAGCTCTTATGAACTTTGGAAGTATGAGTTTTTGTGATTGGTATTTTAATTCCTTGAAGTAAAGACCTGGGAGTAGAATCACTCAATCACAGGATAAATATGTTTGACTATCTGACTGTCGTCTATAATGACTACATCACTATGGATCTCCTCCAGTCGTCTATGATAGGGCCAGTGGCTCCATGTCTTTGTCAACACTTGGCTTTATGTGTCTTAAACCTGATCACACTGAACAGGGATACAGTAGCATTTCATTGAAGGAATTTTATGAACTTGAGCCTCTACTTTCTTCTTTCCCTCTATCTATCTATCTATCTATCTATCTATCTATCTATCTATCTATCTATCTCATTTCTTTTTCTATCTCTCATTCACTTCCTACTCACTCTCTGCCTCTCCCACAGAACAGAGTCTGAGCATCTTCTTTATTTCACATCTTTCCTGTGGCCATGGCCATCATCAACACGGGGCCTCTGACGATGGTGCAGTGAGTAGCAGCACACAGGGATTTCCCCAGCTGAGCTACAAGAATGTCTGGGATTTAAAAGCCCAGGGATGCCCAGGATCCATTAGGAATATAGTTCCTTCATCTAGAGACTGGAGGAACAAATACTTGTGAAATGGGTACGTTATGGCCAAGTTGATCTTGGCAGGAGCTGGCCACTAGAGGAGACACATCCCAAGGGTGGAGTGAATAGGGGCTGGGAACTTTAAAAGCACCAGAACTGTTCTGTGTTTTGATCAATCAACTCTGACCTAACAGGGATGTGTCCATGTAGACAATAAGAATATTGTAGAGATCAGGGAGCTTGGATACAGGCCAAGTAAACTGAGACTTCTAAGCACAGAAGAATCTTGAGGATGAAGGTCACACTCAGAGCTCCTGCATTTGCCTGTCTCTCCTGTGACATCTCGAGTGTGTCCCTAATCACAGAAGACCACCGTCTATCCTGTGACATCTTGAGTGTGTACCTACTCACAGAAGCCCTCTGTCTCTCCTGTTACAGTTTTCTGTCCATGTGTGAGGACAGGGCTCCTGTTGTCCCAGAAGAGCTTCAGCATCCATGCTGTGCCTTTCCAGGACCAAGGAGGGAACAGAAAGATCAGGGTGACTTTGCCCTGCCTCCTGGACATTGATTGGCTCCTGTCACTCTGACTAATCAGTTCTCCGACAATGAGAACTTTGCCCCACCACACCAAGGTCCCCGCCCACATCCTTTTGATTTAAATTCTTACCTAGGGAAGACCCACACATTCTGCTTCCTGTTTGTGAAATGTAGCTGTTCTGTATAGCAGCACAGACTCAGGCCTGAGAGCTGATCATGCCGTTGAATCAACTTCATAGCTGGCTGAATGCTGTGGTCTTTGGACTCCTGCTTCTCCTCCTTCATGTGCAGGGTGAGGCTCAATAAGTTGTTAATGGGAAATGACTAGAATCAGAGCTGCCGAAATCTGTAGAATCAGAGGTTGAGCTTGTGGGAGGGAGGGAAGGCCAGGGAGCAGTGGTTCAGGGGTAGGGGTGATGGAAAGGACAGACTAAAGTGTGGGAAACATGTGTCTCCCAATCCCCTAGCCAGAGTACACTGATTTTGTGAACGCTTAACACAGGGAGGGTCAAAGATGTCTAAAATCTGTCCATAGTGAGGTGACAGTTCAGTGTAAGGAGCTCTGGTGAATGCTAGACAATCAATTCAAGGAAAAACAAGATGAAGGATTTTTCCCTCCTCAATGTATGGCTCTTACTTTAGCTACAACTGGCCTTTGTATAAGAATGACAATAATCATAATTTCATGTGGCCAAATATCTCAGAGTATGTGAACTCTTTGGCCAGAGAAATCCTCTGCCCCCCTGCAAAGGGCAATAGGAAAGGTTCCTGGCTCTGAGGGATAGGGAAGTTCTCACACTCACACCCCACAGCTGAACTAGGAGGTCCTTTCTTTTGTGCCCTGGTAACAGTGAGATGTTAACTCCCACAATCTTCTGGCAGCTGACTGCACACAACTAACCCAGATGGCATTTCTCTAAACAGGTCAGGACTCATCAGAGACCAGCCCCATCAGAAACACACACACAGGCCAGGTCCGAGGCAGCCTCATCCGAGTGAGTGACACCAAAGTGGGTGTCCACAGATTCCTGGGAATCCCCTTTGCCAAGCCACCTGTAGGACCACTGCGTTTTGCACCCCCTGAAGCCCCTGAACCTTGGAGTGGTGTGAGAGATGGGACCTCCTATCCAGCCATGTAAGTTCTGGACCAAGAGGACATCTGGCCCTGGGGTGAACAGTTGCTCTGAGCACTGAGCCATGCTGAAGTCTTTCCTCCATCTCAGCTCCACAGCAGTGTCCTCCCAGCGTGGGGAGTCTGCTATGCATTTTGCTAACACATGTGCTAAGGTTGAGTAGAACAACTGTACCTGTTCCTGCATCAGAATATAGCTACGAGTTAGATGCAGGTACTGTAGAGAAGAACTAAGATAAAATTGTTCACAGATTCAATAAAGCCCAGTGTTGTCTGCCACAATGGGAGGGATCTTGAGGCATGAGTTGTGTGACCTATTAAGCAGAAAGCACCCCAAATCCAGTACAATACACTTCAGGTCCTGAGAGGTGCAGCATGATGGTTACTTGCTAACCCAGTCCTAGAGCCACCGTGACAACCTATAGAGCCAAGCAACATTGACCAAGGAACTATATGTAACTAATTCGCTCTGAAGACAGCATAGGAAAAAGAAGTTCCCCGAGTGTCTGTACATGGGATAAAGGATTTCTCACTGCCCTTTAGGCAGTACTGTCCATTGATTCCTCAAGTACCTGTAGAATACCACGCTCCAGTATTGCAATATTAGTTTGTTTTCTGTTGCTGTAATAAAATACCAAGAAAAACAATTTAGGGGAGAAGGCTACTATTAAAGGCTCTAGAGTATAATCCAACATATTGGGGAAGTTACACTGAATTACATGATCTGGTCACATCACATCCACTACCAGGAGCAGAGAGGGGGAAACGCTTGCATGCCTTGCATTGCTAAGGTCTAGGTCACTTTTCTATTCTTATAACTTCAGCGAATGTCACTGCATACAGCCAAACATTTCCATACAGACACTGAGATGTCTCTATATTCCAGACTCAGAAATAAAACAACATACAGACCCAACCAAACTGGAGGATCCCACCCCAGCTTTCATGGAGCCTGTGGCCATCACTTTGGTGGAAGGAACCTCAGAGGGGGAATATGTGTTATCAGGGCATCATAAAGAGCAGCAGTTGGAGGTGGGGGAGAAAGATCCAGGCTCACATTTGCTTCTGACCACCATATGTCTCTTGGGATATCTCTCTGCTGTTTCCACCAGCTGTCTGCAAAGCCTTGAAATGATGAATTCATTGGGCCTTAAGGATATGAACCTGCCCCTGCCCACATTCTCTATGTCTGAGGACTGCCTGTATCTCAACATCTACGCACCAGCTCATGCCCATGAGGGCTCTAACTTGCCTGTGAGTGTCCAGAAATGGTCATCTTGGAAGAGGGCATGCTTTTCAAGATGAAGGAATAAAAGCAACCTTATCTCCACTGTAGTGGGGACTCTGCTGAAAAGCCTCCACCTACTAGGTCAAAGAAGGCCTACTATGCCACAGTAAGCAGCTGAACCTGGGTATGGAACACAGAACAGGAGCATTGAGTGGTTAAAGGCTCCAACTCTTTGATCAAAGCAGACTCATTCCACAACCTGAGTTCTGTAGGACCACTTATGTGCTCAAGACTCAATATTGAGCTTACCTATATCTACTTTTGAATTATGTGTTGTGTTGGTGAGAGTTGATAATCCTTTCCTATTTAGTCTGGAGAGACAACTGCGGAGGCTCCCCTCTTTGTTCCACTATGCAGAGTCTGAGTAATGACGATATTGCTCTACACAAAGACCCATTAATTCAAACTGAGACACATGGTGGGGTGGGGACTAGAAATACACTGATTGGGCTACTAGAGGACCCACATATGACTGAGGTCCTGAAGTCCTGAAGATTTGCATGTATTTGTGTAGCTGCACAGAGGCCCAGCAGTTGATGTTCTAGTAAGCCGTCTTGCAGAATTGGAATAGCTATGAGCTTTATGGCATCTCTCTTGACCCGTCCAGGTGATGGTGTGGATCCATGGTGGTGCTCTGGTCATAGGCATGGCTTCTATGAATGATGGATCCATGCTGGCAGCCACTGAGGATGTGGTGGTGATCACTATCCAGTACCGCCTGGGTGTCCTGGGCTTCTTCAGGTAAGACTAGGAATTAGGTGGACAATGGCAGCTGGAAAGAACCTAGACAAGCCTTTGATCCATGTCCTTCCACTTCTCAGCACTGGAGACCAGCACGCCAGAGGCAACTGGGGCTACCTGGACCAAGTAGCCGCCCTGCAGTGGGTCCAGCAGAACATCGCCCACTTTGGAGGCAACCCTGACCTTGTCACCATTTTTGGCGAGTCTGCAGGTGGCACAAGTGTGTCTTCACTTGTTGTGTCCCCCATGTCCAAAGGACTCTTCCACAGAGCCATCATGCAGAGTGGAGTGGCCCTGCTGCCTGACCTTATCTCTGACACCCATGAGAGGGTCTACACTGTGAGTGCCCTCAACTATCATAGACTGAGTCTGCCTTCTCAGCCTTCAGATTATGGTACTCTGGTCTTCTGTCTCATGGGGAAAATAATGGCTATGGAAAATAGATTTCTTCCAGTAATTATTGAGAAACTCAGGGGTTAGCTTCTACTCAGCTCTACTTCATACTGGGTTACCATGTTATCTGACCAGCAAACTGCCTCAAGTAGCTTCCAACAACAACAAAAATTAATATGCATATGCTCAGGATGATAGCTCAGTAGGTTTATTAAGTGTTTGGAGTACATGCTTGAGGACCTAAGTTCAAACACCCAGAACCCTCAAAAGGCTGGAGATAGTAGGATGTCTGTAATTCCAAGGTTCCTGTGCTCACATAGGGGACACAGAGACAAGAGATTCCCTAATTGTTCAGAGGGTAGCTCAAATTAGGAGCAGAAAACAAGAGGACACCCTGTCTCAAATAAGGGGCATCNATGTGGTGGTGGTCACTATCCAGTATCGTGTGGGTGTCCTGGGATTCTTCAGGTGAGGATAGGACTGGGGCAGATAATGGCAACTGATAAGAACCTGAACATCCCTTTAATTCATGTCCCTTCCATTTCTCAGCACTGGAGACCAGCACGCCACAGGCAACTGGGGCTACCTGGACCAAGTTGCTGCCCTACGCTGGGTCCAGCAGAATATTGTTCACTTTGGAGGCAACCCTGACCTTGTCACCATCTTTGGCGAGTCAGCAGGTGGCACAAGTGTGTCTTCACTTGTTGTGTCCCCCATATCCAAAGGACTCTTCCACAGAGCCATCATGGAGAGTGGAGTGGCCCTGTTGCCTGACCTTATCTCTGACACCCATGAGATGGTCTACTCTGTGAGTGCCCTCAACTATCATAGACTGAGTCTCCCCCTTCAGCCTTTGTCTTCTGGTACTCTGGTCTTCTGTTTCATGGGAAAACAATAATCATTGAAAATAGCTTCCTTCCAGGAAGTTTTGAGAAACTCAGTGATTAGCTTCTACTTGCCTCTACTTCATACTGGGTGATTATCTGACTAGCAAACTGCTCCAAGCAGCTTGCATCACTGAAAAAAAAATATGCATGTGCTTATGGAGATAGCTTGGTGGGTTTTTTTTTTTAACTGTTTGGAGTACAAGCCTGAGGACTTACGTTCAAACACCCAGAACCCTCAAAAGGCTGGAGATAGTAGTTTGTCCATAATTCTAAAGTTCCTGTGCTCACGTGGGAGAGGTAGAGACAAGAGAATCCCTGGATGGTTATAGGGCAGCTCAGCTAGTGTAGGAGCAGAAAACAAGGGGACACCCTGTATGCAATAAGGGGCATCTGTCCAGAAAGACCTGGGTCTCTAATGTTCACATATAAACATTGGCAGACTTACTCCTTTTCTCACAACCGATCACAGATG